GTATTATGTTGATTTAGAAATGTGTAACTCAGTGTCTATTCACTGCGAGGTTCTGCCGAGAATGCTCTTGACAGAAGATTCAGCACAGCACCAGACTGGCTCGAAATTGCAAAGTTTTCACAAACAGAGGCAAAATTGGCCTTTAATCGTCAAATGCACAGATCAGCGAAGAACCACTTATAATTAATCACTAATGTTTAAGCAATTATTTGCAGAGATAGAGATTTTATAGAAGATTAACTGAATGATAAATATCCATACGTCATCAAATCAATGAGAGATCCCTCTGAACTATGTCGCGAAATTTTGAAAGTGGTGTACAAATATGAATAGTAAAAGGACAAATACCTTGACTTATCCATTCTAGTAAATATTTTAAAACTGATAAAATTTGTTTGAAAAATTTACCCAACCAAGGGGCGTGGCATGAACGGAAGCGGCCGAGCCCCGCTTATGCCTCGCCCCTTTTTTGAACATGATTTGGTTATGAAAAGAGTACGTACGCTGGAAAGAAGCTTCATGTTACTAAGTTATGGTGATATAAGGAGTTTTGACCACGCTAATCTAGCAAATTGCAATATGTGCGGCATATTGTAGAATGATAGTTAGGTCAATTCTTCTCAGAAGACCTACGACCTATATACATAACACGTCAAAAGCACGTGGTTTGATTCGAACAACAAATTCTCCTTATTTTTGTTTATTAAAGGGATACAAAGGAAAGTGAAAGGCTCAGAAACTTTGGCCTATTCCATCAAGGGCAAGCGTTAGGCCATAATTAATGGAGAGCGGAAAATTTTGAATTTGAAGAGGTTTGAGGGATACATTAGGCTAATGAAGAGAAAACAGCTTCGGCCTCTTAGCTCCTTGTGTAACGGCTAACTCTACTTCATAACCGCATATGCACGGCGCAAACTACATCATCTCAAACTTAGATCAACGCTCTAGAGGCAGAAACTCTGAGTCTGGTGGATATGTTAGTTTTTTGTAACTGTAATTCATCAACAAGTGTTCCATAAAAAGCGCTGTCTTGGCTAAAGCGGGAGAAATTTAACCTTTTCAATGCAAATGCAAAACAAATGCAACCATTATCAAAAATTCTGAGCGTTAAGTTCAGACGTTGTTCAGAAGAAAAAAGCTAACCAAAGGCATTTGAAGGTTGTGCAAAATATTTTTTATTGAGGTATGACTCTTGCGTGTTAGCAGGATGTAAGCAAGCTGTAAGTTATCATGTGCAATTGGAGGAAAAGTTAGCCAAAGCATTTGAAAGTTACAGAAATATTTTTACTAATTTTTGCGGACATAGCCAATGATATTTTCGGCCGCAGTAGGGATACAATCTGACACAAAAAAGTATTTTAAGGCTTATTATAAAAATGTAAAAAAGGCATCTTTGCGTAACTTTTAGGAAAATGGAAGGATACAATTTCGAATATACACTCCTTTCGGAGAAGCTCGCAATATCTCGTTATTCGAAAGAAAAACGTTTCAAACAATGTTAAGCAAAATTGTACTCTTGTTCAAACCGAAAAAAGTACCGTCAAATATATATGAACCTTCACGCCTTGGTTTCGCTTCTCAAAGGCGCGCTCATCACCTTCAAGACTATCTAAGAAGAAATGCCAAGTCTTACCGCAAGGTTGCTCACAGTGACTCAAAGAAAAAACTACCTTTTTAGAACAAAAATGGTTCACGTTTGCACGAAGTTTTGAAGAGAAAAAGATTATGTTGACAGCTGCTCCTTGACCCTCTCAAGACAAACGAAATTATGTGAGTGACAGGCAGACAGAAACACACACACTCACATGTAGACAAACTAAGTGAAATCGTAGAAGCCTTCAAGAAACAAAACATTAACCAATTCCTTTTTC